AAATAATGCCTCAGCTGTCTCCACCCCAGACAGGTGCCTCAGTGCCTCTGGGTGTCTGAGCCTCCCAAGGTAAGCCCATTTACCAAATGCTGCTTTAATGACTAGGAAGCATTACATAAACTGTAATAAAAGAGCTCTGATTAAACAACCAAGGGTATAAACAGAGCACATTTAATTACCCACCAAGCACAGCTCTTGGAATTAGGTCTCACGGTTATTCTGGTCCCGTATATTCTAAGTCACTCTCCACTTTCCCTGTGCTGGAGAACATCCTGAAGCCTCAGCCCTGAAGACACTGGCAGGGGCCCTTGTGGGAGACACACAGAAGCGGAAGACGTGTTCTGCCTAGTGCCCAGGGTTGAGCGGGGGCCTGGGCACCCAGCTCCCAGAGCAGGCACAGCGCAAGAAGGTCTGAGAGGACCGTGTGGTTCTCGGATACCAGACTGCGGGAGCGCCACAAGGAGACCCGTCTTTGCAAATTCTGCAGTGAGCTGTGGCTAGAGAGGGTGAAGCCATGATGCATTGTCCCCAGGCACCACTTACCCTCAATTTCCTGCTGGTGTGACCAGGAGAGAAGCCTTCTTCATTCCATCTGGGCGTGGCATGGCTTGGGTCTGCACCGGGTGGGGGGGTGGGGAGGGTGATTCTCTTGAACTCCCTCGGCCTCCATACCTGCCCGGCCAGTCTTCCCTCCCCAGCTCATAGGTCCATGATGCTTCATATACTGGCGTGAGTGAGCGTGGAGATTCCAGTCCCCTGCCTGGTTTCTATCAAAACACTGTCTCTTCCTAGCTAGGTGGCCTCAGGAAAATAACTCGGCCTCTCTGAACTTTGGTTTCCTTCTGAACTGAAGGAGACTCATCACGGTGATGATGATCTGAAGGTTAAATCAGATGCACAACCTCGAATGTCGTGCCTGACCGATAACACGCGTTTAAGAAATGCGAGATATTGTTAGTAGCTGGAGACTGACTCACCAGGTGTGCAAGAGGCAAAAATTCAACCAGTGTGGACGGCTTAGGAGAGAATTTCTCATCATCTGCCCCCTGCCCCCCAACCGCCGCCTCTTACATTGACATTAGGGTCTCATTTGATAGGTGCATAGCCTAGGGATAAGCATATGGACTCTGCAACCAGACCTCTTGAGTTTGGACCTCAGCTCCAGCCCCTCAGTCTCTGGCACCCTTTATGCCTCATTTTCATCATCCTGTGAAATGGGGGCACTGATAGAAACTTCTTCAATAAGGTCAGAGTGAGGATGAAATGAGCTAATGTAAGTTGCGTGTTGGAATGAGGAGAGTGCCCAAAACATTGTCCACAGTGGAAACAGATGCTGTTCATCTGTATGACTACCAAGTGTAAGAACAAGTATCTGTAGGTGAGGGAGAAAGAAATTGAGGCCCAGATGTGACACAGGGGATTTCCCCAAGGTTACAGAGTGAGAAAGTGACGGATCTGGGTAAAACAGAGACACCGGTGGTGTTAACCCTCCGTTGTCTCATGTTAATGAGCCACCTCTGCTTTGCCCACTTCTCCTCCGGGACACTCCGTCTCCTCCCCATCAGCTATCTCATCCTGGAAGCCCCAGCCCATCGCATCTGCCAGAAATCAGCCAATCCATCTCCCGAGCCCCTTTGGAATTAGTGCCTTTGCCACCTGTGTCTGTCTTCTGTCTGACTCTTCCCACCCAGCACAATACAGCATCTGCCCTTGCTGTGACTCTGTTTCCACTGTCCTAGAGGCCCCTTGATTGCCTAGAAGAGCCTGTTAACCATTCAGTGTCTGATGGCTTGACTCGTGAGTAGCAGGTAATAAATATCAGTTGGACCGAAGAGCTAAAGAAAGAAGGATCGAAGGAAGGGAGGGTGGTAACTTTGGTTGGTGGAATTTAAAGTACTCTTGACTTTCTATTTTTTCTCAGAAACTTTCCTAAAATTTGAACCATGAGAATGGCATAATCACATACAAATGAGGTACATGATAACTGTTTGCAAACCCAGGATTGATTCTCAAGTTTTCTGGGAACTGCAAAGGTCAGGAGCTTTGTAATCACGAGACACTGGGTTTGAATCTTGGTTCTGCAAATTACTAAAGTCTCAGTGTACTCACTAGTGAAATAGGCATTCGGATCACCTAGCCTGTGAGGCTCTTGTGACAATTAGAAATCAATGATGGGATGGGCACCCCGGTGTTTCAGTCAGTTAAGCATCGGACACTTGATCTTGGCTCAGGTCATGATCTCACATTTCATAAGTTCGAGCCCCACGTCAGGCTGTACGTGCAGAGTCCCCTTCGAATCTTCTGTCCACCCCCTCCCTCTGCCCCTCCCCCTGCTCCTCCCCCTGCTCTTTCTTTCTCTCAAAAATAAATAAACATTAAAAAAAAAAGAAACAGAAGACAGATACTTGCAGGGGATTTGCATCGTCTGGCTTGGGCACTTGGTTAGTTTCTACTTGTTGCTATAACAAATAAGCCAGACCTGCTGGCTTAAAAGTGTGCATGCATGGGGCACTTGGGTGGCTCAGTTGGTTAAGCATCATCCAACTTCGGCTCAGGTCATGATCTCACAGTTGATGGGTTTGAGCCCCGCATCGGGCTCTGTGCTGACAGCTCAGAGTCTGGAGCCTGCTGCGGATCGTGTGCCTCCTTCTCTCTGCCTCTCCCACGCTCGTGCTCTGTCTCTCTGTCTCTGGAAAATAAATAAAAGTTAAAAAAAATATATAAAACTACGCACACACATTATCTTACAGTTTCAGGGGTCAGAAGTCTGATACGGGTCTCACTGCACTAAAATCAATGTGTCGGCTGTGCTGCACGCTTTCTGGAGCCTCCGGGGCTGGGGCGGATGGGAATCTGTTTCCTTTCTTCTAGCTCTTAGAAGCCACCCGAATTCCTTGGCTTCTGGCCTCATCCTCCCTCTCCAAAGCCAGCAGCGCCTCATCTTCACATCTTTGACTCTGAACCTCCTGTCTCCCCTCTTCATTTATAAGGTCCCAGGTGTTGACACTGGGCTGTCTTAGACCATCCAGGATAATCTCCTGATCTCAAGATTCTTAACCCAATCACATCCGAAGGTGACACATCTCACACGTTCTAGGGATTAGTATGCAGACATCTCTGGGGGCCATTTTTCCTGTCTGCCCCACATTCCATGAAGATCTCCCACAAGGGGTCCTGAGTGGTGATTAAGGGAAATGCAGAGTAATCTACCAAAGGCTTTGGCAAGCGGGGCTTGGGCCTGTGGATAGGGAAACATGGAGAAAGAGTTTTCTGTTTGAGTTTATTATTACCCTTTTCATAAAAGGGCATTTCCATTTTAGTAGGAGGTGATAATCGTGATGCCAACGGCCCTTTATTGAACGTCCTCAAAGAGTCACTCACTTTGCAAAGTGCCTGACCACAGAAATTTATTTAGTCTCTATAATAACCCAGCAAAGCATTATTTCCATCCTGTTCAAGGTCCCATAGCTGTTTTACTGTGCAGGTGGAATTTGAAGGCGTGTCGGTCTGACCTGAAGCCCCAGTTTGTTTCCCCTAGGACATTCTAGTTTTTGGAAAAGAATTCCTTGCTTTTTCCATGGACTGAGCTCCTGGTCAACAGTCTCTCTTTCCCAGCCAGATGTGGACAGACGCAAAATGAGGGGCCAGTGATGCCTTTTTTTGCTGGAACACTAGCTGGACTGGGGAGATCTGGGCCGGCAAGAGCTCAGTCATCTGCTCTTTTCTCACTGCCCTTGGAGACGCAAGCCAATCCGGAGAACAGGATTTCCCTCCAGCCCGACATCAAAAGGTTCCAGTCAGGGGCGCGCTGGGCCAGGATGCTGTTAGCATGGGATATTAACCAAACACACTTCACCCCTGTGTTTGCCAGGGATGGTTGTGTCTTTGACGCAGCCTCATTCCTTGGACTTAATTAAAACCCAGTTCCCTCTTTTATTCAATTTATGAGGCCTAGCCGGCAGGATTAAGCGATTACAGACAAAAAGCCCCATTTGTGAAACACTCCTAAACTCAAGCTGTTACGCTGCTTACTTGTACTCCATTAAATTAATAAGGAATGAATCGGCTGATCCATTATGAATAAAGCAGTGGGGAGTCTCTGCCCCGGTTCATACTTCCTGCTCCCTCCTCAGAGAACATTTGTGTAAAATGATTATGTTCATATTCTTTCAGTTGGAATTCTCTAAAAGTGGAATGCATAAATTACTCTAAAGACACAGAGTTTATCTTAAACATTAACTACGAAGGGTGAATTAATAAGACTATTATAAAGCCATTAGCATTCAGTGTATTTACCTACAGTTGCAGTATACCTAAACCATATTCAACCCACAGTTGCCATTTGTGTTGGGTGATCAAGCTAGTTTATTTTAGCTCACAGTTCATTTAAACTGGTAACACACCCTTGAATATCCAGGTTTCTACTAGCTTCTTTTTTTAGGGCTCCTCTCAGTTGGAAATTGACTGCTGTTACTTCCTGATTCAACCACAAACCTCTCTCTGGCAACTGTTGTACCCAGATGTTTCCAAATATTGGTTGTTTAACGCTACAGAATAGGAACCAAGAGGGGCGCCTGGGTGGCTCAGTCGGTTGAGCGTCCGACTTCGGCTCAGGTCACGATCTCGCGGTCCGTGAGTTCGAGCCCCGTGTCGGGCTCTGGGCTGATGGCTCAGAGCCTGGAGCCTGCTTCCGGTTCTGTGTCTCCCTCTCTCTCTGCCCCTCCCCCGTTCATGCTCTGTCTCTCTCTGTCTCAAAAATAAATAAACGTTAAAAAAAAAATTAAAAAAAAAAAAAAAGAATAGGAACCAAGAGGCTAACCTTAGTCAGATGAAATGTGAGTTCACATATTGAGGTCCCGAGAAGTTAGTTTTCTAAGGGGTGTGGGGAACACAGTTGGAGAGAGGGGCCATTGGAGGATTTTTAGTTGACCACAAGCCCAGGCTGTTTGGGGAGGGTAACAGGGTTTTGTAGAAGTCAAATCGTCAAATCTTATTTTTATCCAGGATTTTCCAACCCGAAAAGTCCTGACGTTTGGAGCTGGATTGTTCTTCATCGTGGGGCTGTCCTGCGTGTTGCAGATGCCTAGCAGCATCCCAGGTCCAATTTGCCAGATAGCAGTAGCAACAGTTGCTCCCTCCCTAGCGGCTGTGACAACCAAAAACGTTTCCAAATATTGCCAGGTCTCTCCTGGGGAGGAGAATAGTCCAGAGTAGACCCTGGTTGAGGTTGAGAGCAACTTAATTCTCACTAACAATTAACAATAGGGTTAATCTGTGTAATCCTCCAAATACTGGTTTATATTGTGGGATATACACCTGCTCAGAGATGGTCGCTTCTCTGTCCTTCATCTGGTGGGGACACAATAGCTTGGAAAGAGGAACCACTTCGTGCTCTAAAACCATCCCCTCCCTTCTCTGCCATCCTATCTCCTGCTTATAGATTAATTTCTCATTCTAGGCTTGAGTAATAAAGCAGAAGCCCGCCAGAGAGAATTTCCACAGGCTTTACATCTACCTTCCCACCCGCATGTGTGTCCACGCACCCTGCCTTCCTCCTGGTAGTGTAACTCAGAATCAAGTCTAAAGTTCTTATTGTCTGACTCTATATTTTAAATTCTTTATTGTCACCCGAAAGGACTTCCAGACAAGAGCGATGCTTCCAAACAAGGACCTGAGGTGTTGCCCCTCCGCTGCTTAAGATTCCAACATGAACACGTTGCTGCAAACGTACCCCTCCCTTCCCTAAGAGATTCCTGCTCTAGAGGCCCCCCAGCTGTCAGGGACTCAGATGCCCTGAAATCCAGGCTGTCTAAGCTTAGAATGGCGAGCTCTCTCCCTCTTGCCATGGTCAAATCCACCCTTCAACACAATCCTGTATTCCAGGACTCACTCCCATTCCAGGGCGTCTCCGGAAGCGGGCGGAAGTGGTTCTGAGCCGGGCTCGCAGGAGGAAGCGGGGCACATGGCAGCAGATGCACGTGTCGGGGTTGACTTAAAGCGTGTGGAAGTTCTCTTTTGATGGCTTCTACTTTCCTGCTTGAGGCTGGACTGGGAATTTTGTCTGTTACGAGGCAGTGCTCTCCTTGTTGTGGGCCCAGAAGCTGAGACCGAGAGAGAGGGACCAGTTAACTTACTCAGTGACACACGTCCAGTGAGAGGCAGGAAGAGGGAGGAGTGCTGATTGCCTGAAACCCAATCTTCTGACCCTCTGACCTCAGCATTCTGCTTTCTTACCGTCTTCAAATTACCATGGTCATTACAACCTATCAAAACCCAACTCTTCATTGCCAGGACTGAGCACTGAGTAATTAAATGCATTAAAAGTCTGCTCTGTACCTGGGGTTTTGAGCTCTTATACTGCCATTTTTTCTTCTTCTTTCTTCCAAATAGTACAGTAAGCGCTTTTACATTGGCTGGTTTTCCTCTTGCGTCTCTAACTTTTTCACCCTTTCTCTCTGCATCAACTGCCGTTGTGGCTCGCGTATCCTCAAGTTTTAAGAGGAAGGAGAAAGGAAGCCAGGGAGATGGATCACCGGCGACGTGGCTGTTCATCACCTGCTCGTTGGCTAAAGGCAGTAGTGGGCGTCGCTCAGTACAGAAGGAACTCTCCATGTGGACTGTGTGTATGTGCAGCAGGGCCTCTGCCGTCCTGGGACAGGGTGACACCCCGGCTGATGTTGGATTAGCTGCATGCGCTGAGACAAGTTACTTACAACGAGTCTCAATTTTCTCATCTAAAAAATTCATAACCCGTGCCCCTTGGTGCTGCCGTGGATAAAGCGAGTCCACTTATTAAGGTGCCTGTTAAGTGGTCCTGGCACACCCTTTACACATACAACTGGAGTCAGGAGCACTCTCCCCCGTGGGGCCCCTAAACTCCTCATCCCCAGCCCAGTGGGAAGGATTAATGCATTCTTTCTTGAAAGAACTTACGTGTACATATGGAATTGGCAAAAGTCTGGCTCTTTGGCCTGATTCCAAGCAAAACTAATCATCAGAAACTTCATGCAGATTTACGATTACTTTTTCTATAACAGGGTGAGGCCCAGGCTGCTGAGCCAGAATTAAAAAGGGGCTGGTACAAGCAGAGAAGGCTCAGGTCTTCACAAAGAAGGATTTTCACGCAGGGCACCGCATGTGCAACTCTGACTCAAGGTCGGCTGTAAATTAGCATCAAGTGTTAAAACAGCCCAGCGCCCCTTTCTTAAGATTGTTGTGATGAGGCCTCACAACTGGGCTATGGGCTTTCATTTAAGGCTAATGAAGAGTCACGCTGGATCTTCTCAATATAGTACGCATGATCCAACACATAATTTAATGTTATGAAGGCTGATGGGCACACAGAGGTCTTTCTCACTGTGGATGGGATGGCCATGGCTTTGAGCTATAAGCCCAGGTTCCAGACCACATCTTGCCACATAGTAATTGTGAGATCTGTAACGAACCATCGTCTTTCTCTGCCCCGATCCCCGTTTATAACATGGCAGATTAAGGTCAGGATGGAGGGCATCAGCTGCAGGCAGCCTGCAGAAACAGTTTGCTACACACTGGCTATATACACTTTGAGGAGACATTAAATTTATTACCGGTACTAAAAAATTGGCAGAGTTCACATACAAAGAAAAATGTGCATTTTTGGCCTCTTCGAGAAAGCTGGGGGATTGGGCAACAAGCTTTGCATTTCGTAATGGCAGCAGGTGGATGGTGCTGATCCGTAGTTACTGCATTTTGCTTGGTCACAGACTGGTTTTTCAGCCTGCCACTGTCCCCACCATCCCCTCTCCGTGCCACCTGGCCTCCGTTATTCATCTCTATATTTTCTCTTCCCTGCGTTATAGTTTGAAATCCCTGTATTGTGAAAACTCTTCTAGTTTTCGAGCAATTGATTGATTTAGGATTTTGAGGATGGTGTGATGTGTGGACTTATCTGAGTAAAAGTACGGTTGCCAGGGAAATACTTTAGTGAGACAAAAATCTAGTACTCTTGTACTAACACACCTAAGATGCTTCTGGCTCAATTTATGCGATAAGTTAATTTTGAAAGCCTACTACTATGTGAAAATGTTTGCTGGCATATACTGGAGATACAAGGTTGAACAAAGTTTGGTGGGTAAGGAAGACAGAAAATAAGCAAACGGCCAAATGAATGTTAATGAAATGAACATCTGAGAGAATTCCAATATCACACAAGAACAGATTTCATGAAGAAGAACCATTCAGGGGGATGTCCCTTTAGGCTGGGGGGTTGCCATTTAAGCGGAGAATCGGGGATGCCGAAGAAGGCGAAAAAGGTCAGTGTGGCTGGACTTTAGTGGGTCAGGAGACAGAGGAGGTAGAGAGGGATCTGGGTAATAGGCATTGGTAGAGCAACAGGGCTTTGGAGGACCTGACTGAGAGCCCAGCTTGATTTTTCAAAGCTTAGCGAAGAAGGAGATGGGGCCATTCGTGAACACCCACTCTGGCATGGATCAGGAATCTTGCTCAGGGAACCCACTGAGGCATTAAACAAATAGGCCCCCTCGCCCCGTCATCCAACTTTCTGAACCTCCCTCTGTGCCCTTTCCCCATATTATCAGTGGCCCACCCAGCTGATGTCATTAAGGATATCATTTACAGATAGAGGTTGCTTTTCTTGCACAGGTCATGATGGAGTCGTTTGAGGAAAGAAAACGAGCACTTCCTAAAAATGCTCCACTTGCCAGGTCTATTCCGTATAATTGAAAACAAACAAAGAAACCCTTTGTACCAGAGTATAAATGTGTATTGAAGTTCGTAGATGCTAAGTGTACAGGTTGATGGATTTCATGGTGAACAGCACCCAGATCAGGAAAGAAGGCCGTCAGTTCTCGAGGAACAACCTTGTACCCCTTGATCGCCCCCTACCCCTTCCAAGGGTGACCAGCGGCCCAGATATAACCCCAGAGCCCAGCGTTTTGCCTGTGTTTGAACCTTATGTAAGTAGAACCGGGTGGGTGTTCATGGGCTTGTTTTGCTCAGTATTATCCTTTGTGAGACCTGCTGTTGTGTTTCCATTGCCCCAGTACTTCCATATGTGCACATAGGGCCGCCCTTCAGTTTTACCGTAAACGGACATTTGGGCGGTTTGAGACTTTGGTGACGGGTGCTGCCTGCACATCCGGGTACTTATGTCCTCATACGCATGCGCATGTATTTCTGAGGGCCGAATACCTACGCATCGCGTTCTGCTTCAGTACTTCGTACCAGACCAATTTCTGTCCCTACAGCTTTTACCCGCATTTATGCTTTGCGTTTTTGCATCAACCTTTCGATGTAGCCATTTCATCCCCATTGGCAGATGAGGAAACAAGGGCTCGGAAAGGCACCGTCCGTCCCTCGAGGTCACAGAGTCGGTTGAGCCGCAGGGAGAGCACACGCACTTGGATTTGTGTGGCTCCATCACACCACGAGCCCCCATGATTCACTTGCTCTGTGGCCCCGCCCAAATGGCACCCCTTCACCAACCCGTGCCCTGACCCAGCCTGGGGGAATTAGTGGTGCTGCCGTCTGCTCCCCGGGCACCTGTGGGGCTCCCTGTGGCCGCCACGCGTGGTGAAGCGGCCGGCTCCGTGGTCAGACAGGCCGGGTCTGAGTGTCCGCGCCCCCGCTCGGCTCACGGAGACTCGTGGCAAGTTGCGTTTGTTCCTTGGTGCGATGAGGGTAATGACGATGGCGACCTCACACCTGTGGTGTGAAGGTTGAAGACGTGACGTCAGCAGGTGCTCAGGCAGGACCTGCACGTAGTACCGGCAGTCAACAGGTGGATGGACAGAGAGCGGTGTAGATACTCCCGCAGAGGATTAGTCACAGCTACCACGGTGGGTGCATATATGTGTGTGAGCCTCGTATGCCTGCAGTTAGTTCTGCATTTACCCCCACTTGACGGGCTTGGCATAAGCCTTCTCCTTTTAGGGGTCTGACTCTCCTCCTCCGTCACCGAAGAGATGCCAGCGCATTCGGATTAAACAAGCTTTTGTTGATCAACTACTCTCTGCCAGAAGCCTCTACAACCGTCTCACCCATTAACTCCATTAATTAAGTAGTTAACTGAATTAAGTAATTAATCCATGCCCAATTTAAAGCTAGGGAAAGTAAGACTCAGAGAGGCAAAGCAACTTACCCCAAATCGCCAGCTTCTGAGCAGCAGGGTCAAGTCAGTGTTGAGTCGCATTTCCAGGGTGGCACGTTTCTCCTGTCCTGCATCCTAGCGTTTCCCTCCCGAGTCTTTGGTCCTCTGTGATTCTTCAAGGGCTTTCTGTGCTCCTGCCTAAGGAGAGTTTGGCAGAGGCCTGGTCTACACTTAGGAGAAGGAAGGGAATAAAGAAAGCGGAGGGGAACTCAGTGGGAAGCCAGAAAGCCAAGTCGCTGTGAGCAAATGAGTGTGACACATCCCCACGTCTTTGGTGTGAGTGGTTTTGCACTCCGACCTGGCTCAGCTCCTGTGTCGCACTTACAGTGCTGGGTTGAATAGTGTCCTCAAAATGCCTGGGTCTGCACAAAAACTCAAAACGTGATCTGTTTTGGAAAGAGAGTCTTTGCAGATGTAAAGAGTCAGGATCCCGGGAGGCACGCTGGATTTAGGGTGGGCTTTAAATCCAACAACAGGTGTCTTTATAAGTAAAGGAAAGGGCACAGAATTCCGGAAAGAAGAGGCCGTGTGGACGCAGAGGCAAAGATTAGAGCGACTGTAGTAGCCGTGGAACCCCAGGACTGCCAGCAGCCCCCGGAAGCGAGGACAGAGGCGTGAGGCCATTTCTCCCTTAGAGCCTCCAGAAGAGCCAACTCTGTCTCCTCTTTGACTGGGGACTGCTGGCCTCTTGAACTGTGAGCGAATATATTTCTGTCCCTGGTGATCTGCTATGGAGCCCCAGGAAGTTCACCCACTCACAGGCTCTGCCTCTTGGGGAGCCCCTAACCTCTCTGGGCCCTGCTTGCACACATGGAAGATGGGTCTGGTGGCTGGGAAGCCCCTGGGGGACTTCTGAAGATTGTAGATAAAGCATAAGGAAAGAACGTCCACCAGGGCGGCTGATTGTGAAAACTCCCAGGCCGCGTTGTCCCTCGCTGGGTCTGGCCACTCTTGGGCCTGTGCACGACACCAGCCCTCTCATCCGAGCTCCCCAAGGCGATGCTCGGGAGCCCTTTCCTGAGAATTTTGCAGCGGCCACTAGAATTCAGCACACCCTTGTTGCTTTTAGTTGCGAGCATGTATCGCCGAAGACGCGTATCCCCCTTAGAACCATAAACGCTCTAATAGCAGCAACGGGGCGGCCTCGATCATGACCAAACGTGATTACATTCCACATAAAAATATAAAAGCTCATTTGAGCCGGACTCCCTCTGGGCCCATTGCCTGCACTTTTATTGAAAACCCCACATTCCTGACTTCGTGAGCACTGATGTAAGGGCCCAGTGAGGCTGGATCTCGAGAACCCCTGTAAAGCCCCGAGGTGGCCTGGTGGGCTGGACTCAGCAGGAAATCCCTGATGTATTCTCAAGCACAGAGCCTCACACTTCATTGTCTGGCGACTCCTATCCTCTTGGACCTCCCTAGATCCCCTGTGCCAGCCCAGGCCTCTTGCTTTGCCCCTGCTAAAACGTAAGGCTGTGGAAGCAGGGAATTGGCCTGGCGTGTTCCCTGCTGTATCCTCAAGGCCCAGCCTGGTTCCCAGTGCGCAAGTGAACAGACGTCCCGGGACACCCCTCCCTTCTCCACACCTGGCCCTCTGGCATCCTCCTCACTAACCTCCTCTCCCCCCCTTTCCCGTCTCACCTTTCAGCCACACCCTACAACCTGAGAGTCAGCCAGTCAGGCTCTGTCATTCCCCCATGTGCCACGCCGTTCACTCTGGGGGGCTCCCCCTCCTCTGTGCCTCCCCAGATCGCCCTGACCGGCCAGCAGCCCCTCACCTGCTCACCTGTCTGTGCCTGTCTCTAGACTCTAAGCACTGCGAGGTCCTGGACAGTCTTCTTCACCCTTCTCTCCCAGGCCCTGGTGGATGTCTGGCTCGTGGCTTGTGCTTGATAAGTATTGGTCAAATCAGTTGGCAAACTGCTGAGAGAAAAACACATCATCATAAAGGAGACACAAAAGGGAGGGAAGTGGGTGGGGGAAATAGAGCGCTCGGTCACTGTGGTGGCAAGTACCATGGAAGGTAGTTTTACAGGTCTTTTCCGTTGGATTCCTACACCAGCCACACGAAGAAGCCCCTGTTGTCCTCCCTCTCTTTTCCACTCAAGGGAAGAGTGGTCAGAGATGGTAACTTGGCTGGCGTCACATACGCTGGAGGCATGCAGGGCCAGGATTTCAGTCCAGGTTTGTTTGACTCCAGATCCAAATTCACAGCACAGGGAGGATGTAAGAAAATGTAGGAACAAAGTCTTAATAAATGTTTCCAGAAAGCGTAATTGTTAAAAGCCCAAAACTACGTGCCAAGGCCCAGGAGGGCCTGGGACAAATCGGTTCACTGCTCTGGACCTTGGTTTCCTCATCTGCACTGAAGGGCTGGAGACCTTTGTGAATTGGATTAGGTGATCTCAGTACCCGTCTAGCTCCAAAAGTATTCTGAAGTGTTGCACAATTTATGGAAAAACATATATTTTGAAATTCGGTGATTGAGGCAACAGCTGTCAGCATGAGGTTTTTTTGTCCTATGCTTTAAAAATAGATTATACAGAACTGTGTGTGTGTGTGTGTGTGTGTGTGTGTGTGTGTGTGTGTGTGGCTGTGTATAGTCACATGCATACAAACCCATGAGTGGAACAATGACAGTTGTAGAGCTGTGGCTTCCTTTTAGACTGTTGTCCTCATGCATATCTCAGGGAAAACATAAGCAGCTTGCTGATAGAGATGCTCTGGAATCAGACCAAATAGTGTGGGTTTTGTCAACACTTTTATCTTGATTTACCTGGATTTCTGTCCAAGTGGCATCTCTTCTCTAATTCCAGGAGACAGGTCAATATGAAAGGTGTGGGTTATGGGGGGCAGGAGGTGATGCTGAACGAGCCTGGGGGAACAGGTAAAGAAGGCAGGCCACTATCAAGACAGACACGTTGAGGGGCGCCTGGGTGGCTCAGTCGGTTAAGCATCCAACTTCGGCTTAGGTCATGATCTCATGGTTCATGGGTTCGAGCCCCACATGGGGCTCTGTGCTACCAGCTCGGAGCCTGGAGCCTGCTTCTGATTCTGTGTCTCCCTCTCTCTTTGCCACTCCCCTGTTCATACTCTCTCTCTCTCTCTCTCTCTCTCTCTCAAAAATAAATAAAAAAGATTTTAAAAAAATTTAAAAAGACAGACACGTTGATAATACCTAACAAAGCAGGATGACTAGGTGGTATCATCAGTCCCACCACAGCTTACACCTGTTGTGACATGAGTCCCATGTGTGGTTTCCAAAAATATAGAGGCTAATTAAATGCTTCACAAGCTCTTTGTAGATTTTTCTGCAAGATGATTTCTTCTTTGTGGTAGAGGAATTACATTGTTCATTCATTCACAACACACGCACACACGCACACACACACACACTCCACCAATGTGCCACATACTGTACGTGGCGATGGCGAGCAGTCCTGTCCGTCACAGAGCTCCCAGTCTAGTTGGGAGTGTAGTAGACATAATAGTGCCCCCCTCCCCACAGGTGTCTATGTTCTATTCCTAGACCCTGTGAACACGTTACTTTACATGGCGGAAGGGAGCTAACAGATGTGAAGGATCTTGAGATGAGAATAGGATTATCCAGGTGGGCCCAGTATAATTGTTAAGGGTCCTTAATGTGGAGAGGGGGAGGCAGAAGAATCAGGAGGTGGAGAAGGGGCCATGAGGCAAGGAAGGCAGGTGGCCTCTAGAAGCTGGGAAAGGCAAGGAAACGGACTCTTCCCTGGAGCTTCCGGAGAGGAATGTGGTCCTGCCGACACCTTGACTTCACGCAGCCCTAAGACTCTGACCCCCTGAACTGGAAGAGAATAGATGCGTATGGTTGTAAGGCACTATGTTTGTGGAACCTTGTTAAACAGCAAAAGGAAACTGACACTCTCTTTAGGACACCAGAGGGCTAAGTATATATACATGCACAAAGTGGGGAGTGCTAAGAAGGAGAAGAACAGGGTGACTTAAGACCAGTCAAGGTCCGGAAAGCTCTTGGTTGGGGAAGGCTTCCTTGAAGGAGAAGGGCATTGGTGCCTGGGGGATGGTGTGGGTGGGGAGGAAATTCCACGTCCAGTCTACCCTCTGCGCGCGGGGCTGTGCAGGGAAGGAATGTGGCGCAGGAGGCCAGAGGGCCTGGTGCGCAGAGTGTGAGCAGGAAATAAGGCAGACCACATGGAAACCACCTCTGGGATCTAAGTTGGGCAGAGCCTTTGTAAATTGCCAGGAGTTTGGGTTCTTACCCTAAGAGAAATGGGAATGTTTTGAATGGTATTGGACTGCAGTGAGATTTGGTCAGCTTAATATTTTAGATCTGTGCTGTCCAATTCAGTAGTCGCTAGCTATGTGTGGTCATGTAAATATAAATTAATGAAAATCAAATAATTTTTAAAATTCAGCTTCTAAGTCACACTAGAACATTTTAAGTGCTCAGTAGCCACATGTAGCTGGTGGCTACCACATCAGAGAGAATAGATCTAGAACATTGCCAGCACTGCAGAAAGTTCTGTTGGACGGTGCTGCTTAGAAGTAATACCACAACTGCAGAGTGGACCATGAAGTAGGGAGGGAGGCACGAGTGGAGGTGGGAGAGCACGTAGGAAGAGACTTCCCAATATTCCAGGTGGGATTTGATGGCAGTTCACACTAAGATGGTGGCAGTGGACATGGACATATGTGGGGAGATTGGAAATGTAACTATGTATTTGGAAGGAATGACTATGGATTTGGAGCTCAGATATTGGGAAGTTTCTGCCTCATTTTTACCCTTCATCAGAATCGTTACCTAAAACAAGTTGCTTAAATTCACGAGCTTCACTTTCCTTATCTGTGAGTAGGAGTAACATCTACTTCTAAAGGGATATTGTAGCATAAAATCTCTGGCATGATGAGTGTTCAATAAAGGGTACATCTCATGCCCTTTATAAATCTCCAGCTGAAAATGGTCTTTTGGATGTTGTTAAGATCCGGGAAGAATCACTTTGGAACTACAAACACCTACTGACCTGGTGAGCTCTCTCTTTCTCTCTCTCTCTCTCTCTCTCTCTCTCTCTCTCTCGAGTAGAGCCTGATCAGAGTATCTTCCACTCAGATGGACAAGCCCTTACTCTGGACCTGCCCTTGGGTGTGAAGGTCACGGGGAAAGGTACAGAGGGAAAGAGCCATATGTAGAAAATGAGCAATTCGGTTCCCACCATGACGGCAGGGCGTCCAAATGGAGCTATTTTGTAGTCAGAATACCACGTAGGACCACACTAGGAGAGCGAGCTTGGGGGAAGCCAGGAGAAGAGCGTGCCATCCGTGTAGAGAAGATAATTGAATCCATGGGAGGTCGACTGGGGCTCATTTCACACAGAACCGCACAACAGCACGTGGCTCGCTCAAAGACAATACAGGCCTTCAAAGCGAACCGCTGAGGGGAGTGCATTTCTATATTAAGGGCACAACATCCTCTAAGTGAGACGCATTGTTATGCCTCTTCTTCCCGGCCACAGCCTGGAAATAGCCATAAAAGAAATGAAGTATATTTGCCTTGTTAACACAGTTTGTATTACATATTCATAAACCATTTTGTGAAACTGCAAGGGAAAGATTCAATTGTCTTGGAAACTGATAATGGCCAAACAGCCACACAGAGAGCAGGCAGCATGTTATGGAATTAGCTGCACAATGAATGAAATGCAACGCCTATAATAAACCCATTCAGATATAAATTATGGCCCAGTAGATGCAATGTTTGTTAAGCCATAAAGCCTGCCACCCTACGTGGGAAATTGAACGAGATTTATCATAAAATGTGGCGGAGAATGTGCTAAGAATCTGGCTCCCCAAACTGGGCTTAATCAGAACAATCTAGAGAGCAGGCTTCCAGGAACAGGAAACCAAAAGAAAACAACAGCAGTGGGTCCAAGGGGGCATTTTGACATTGTGACCCAGAATACTCTTGGTCTCCGCAATTCCACCAAGGATATTTGTATTTTGAAAAAAAAAAAATCTGTTTTGATTTTTCCTTTGAGGATTATCAAAATGGCTTGAGCTCTGGGAATATGAAATGTGACCAGTAATTGGCTTTCTGGTTGGCCAAGGCAGTAATTGAATTCAGGGACAGGGACCTTGTCCAAGTGACATTGGGCTCTTGGTCTCCCTTGGAAATGGTGGAGTAATGATCCGCAGGGAGGCAGCTGGCTCTCAGACTGCACCGTTGGATGTTTTACTGGGTCCTTGAAGGACGTGCAACTTGTTTTCTCACAAGACCTCCCTTGAATCTTCCATGCACCGTGCTACACGAATGTGAGAGCATGTTGTGTGTCATCTCCTGGAGCTGGATCTTGGGTTTATCTCCACTTTCTGGGAAAAATAAAATGAAACCAAATAAAATAAAACAAGAATTAACCCAGCATGCTGCAGGCTTTCTGGTATTGTTACTTGAAAAGAACTGCAAATATTTTATGGCTTTACAAGCTGAAGTCAACGTTTGCAGTGTGTTGAGAACAATGAAAAATACCTTAGGAATGTATTATAGTCCCAGAGTTGGATTAAGAGTGTTCAGAAGCGGAAAGGAATTTTCTGCCTGCTAATAACATTACCCTGAAATCTAATGAAATGATCTCCCTAAAGCCAAGTTTATGGCATAAGCTGATTTCCCATTTGCTGTTAAAAATAAAACAAACAAATGTCTTCTTTGGTCAGCTCATCACTCAATCCACATACTGTCAAACTGTGCTTCAGATAGCCAAGTTGTACAACTTAAACGGGTCACTTAGGGTGTTTTAGAAATAAGGATTATTACGGACGTTCAGTGAAGTGACTGTAGAATTCGAATTTGACAACAAGCGCCAACACATTCCCAAAGAAGCTTAAAAAGCACACATTTCGGAATTGCTGATGACTGGAGCTACCTCATACTCCCTGTGTCCTCACATTATGTGTGTCTGTGCAAATATATACACACATATACCTGTATATGCAAATCTACATATGCGTGCACACACACACACACACACACATCAATAAGAAAATCTAGGTATTAACAAAAAGATTGGAAAAATCAGAAGTCATATTAGATTCTAAAACAGTTGACAACAAATCTTTTCTTCCCTTTCCTCATCAAAACATATTCTCTATACTCTTTCTCCCAACTAAGATGAGCTAAGTGCCAGGTATTTGGGAAGGTAGTCAGAAAAACAGGGGACTGAAATCAAACATAAAGATAAAGGCAGTTCTCAGTATCATAGTCAGGAGCATTATGTCAACAGCCTGCATTCCTATAGGCTGTTTCT